ACTATGATTATAATCACAAATATTTTAACTGCATTTCATACTATTATTATTTCATGTATCCACACCTTTGATCAACCTCGCCTAGTTAACTAGCTTTTTAGTTTTCTACCCAGTTCCAAGACCGGGTAAAGAGGGAGGGTTGGGCGTGGGGCTAGCAACGCCACACCACTAAACATATCAAACCGCTAAAGAAAATTCAACACACAGAAAATATACTAAAAATACAAAAACTTCAAATAAAAATCTTATTCTTCGCTCGAATAGAAGAGGCGAAGTGAAACAGCGGGCTGGTGAAAGCCTTCAGGAAGTCAGTCAGCCAACGTGTCTTTTCTTGATGAAAGCAAGAGTAAGAACGGGGACGTGGAATGTCTGGGCAATGTAAGAGGCTGGGAAGGCTGCCCAGGTAGCCAAAGAGATGCGAAGATATGCCTTAGAAGTACTGGGTATCTGCGAAAGCAGATGGAATGGATGTGGATTGACAACATTGTCAACAGGAGAGTCAATAATCTACTCCGGTCACCCAGATGACAACCACGAACACACCGAGGGAGTGGCCATGATGTCACCAGTGGCAGTCAAAGCCCTAATGCAGTGGGAACCAATTTCACCCAGGATCATGACAGCAAGATTCAACTCCGAAGGAAGGAAGGTAACAATTATCCGATGCTATGCACAGTGCTACAAACAACGCGGAACAAGAGAAGAAGAAGAAGAAGGCTTTTTACAGACAACTACAAACAGTAATGGACAACATCCAGAATGGAGACATCAAAACCTTCATGGGCGATATGAATCCCAAACTGGGACCTGATAACACAGGAAGCGAATTCATCATGGATCGAAAGGCTCTCGGAGAAATGAATGAGAACGGGGAATTATTCGCAGACTTCTGCTCTTTCAACGATTTGGTGATCGGAGGGAGCGTGTGCAAACACAAGGATATACACAAAGCAACGTGGATTTCGCCTGACAGACATACCACAAACCAAATAGATTTCATCTCAATCTCAAGGAAGTGGAGACGCAGCTAGCCTGCTGGATACAAAGTCGAGAAGGAGAGCTGATGTGGGCTCAGACCATCATCTAGTCCAAGGAACTTTCAAGGTGAAGCTGAAATCCGCGAAAACAAATGGAGACAGACCACAACTCAACTTCAACATTCAGAAACTGAAGGACAAAACTACAAGGGATGCCTCCGCTACAGATCAGATCAGAGCAAAGTCGGAGATACTAAGTGGCATCACTGAGGAAATCTGTGTGGAAGAACATTGGAACTCTGTGAAAGCGATATTCAAGGAAACGTGTACAACTGTTCTGGGAAGAAGCAAGAGACAAGACAAGGAATGGCTGTCAACGGATACCTGGAAGCTTGTCGAGGAGAGGAGGATGGTGAAAGAGATGACCCAATGCAATGATGGACAACAGAAGGAGAAGCTGAGTTCAATGTACACTGCACTAAGTAAAGAAGTGAAGAAGAGTGCTAGAAAAGACAAACGATTATTCTACGACACACTTGCAACTGAAGCAGAACAGGCCACAGGCAAAAGAGACAACAGGACACTATATCAGATAACCAAGCCTCTATCAGAGAAGAGATCAACCCAGATGACGAAACCAATAAAAGATGCTCAAGGGAACCTGATCACCAAGGAGGAGAGACAAATCAAACAATGGGCTGATCACTTTAAAGGACTCTTGAGTCGACCACCACCGACAACTCGCCCAGGCTACTGAACACCGACCGGGAAGGCAGCAGAACCAAACGGAATTCCCCCTGAAAACGGACCCAGAGACTGAGGCAGATGTTCTCACGCCATTATTGTAAAAGGTTTGGGAAGAAGGAAAGGTACTTACTGATTGGAAGAAGGGCCACCTCGTCAAAATGCCAAAGAAGGGCGACTTAGGCCTATGCAAGAACTGGTGTGGAATCATGCTCTTGTCCACGCCAAGTAAAATAGTAAGTCGCATCATCCTAGTGAAAATAAAGGATGCACTGGATACAAAACTCCGCCCAAAGGAACAAGCTGGATTTAGGAAAGGCAAATCATGTGCAGATCAAATCGCAACTCTACACATCGTCGTCGAACAAGGCATAGAATGGCAGTCAAACCTCTGCCTCAACTTCATCGACTTCGAGAACGCTTTCAACAGCGTAGACCGAGAAGTAATTTGGAAACTACTTCAACACTACGGCGCACCTCAAGTCTTTATCAACCGAATTCAACAGTTATATGACAATGCCACGTGTCAAGTGATTCACAACGGAAAACTCAGCGAGGCGTTCGACATGCATACAGGAGTAAGACAATGCTGGCTGCCTATTATCACCAGTGATATTCCTAATTATCGTGGTGGACTAGATCATGCGGAAGACTGTGCGTCGGAGTGAGGAGACAGGAATACGCTCACTGACCGATAAGAAGACTCTAGAACATCTGGATTTCGCAGACGATATATGTTTAATATCACACAAACTCGAAGACTTGCAAGCGAAAACCAACAAACTGGCTGAAGAGGCAGAGAAAACAGGACTCCAGGTAAACACAGAGAAGACGGAGGTGATGAAAATAACCAATCAACAGAAGCAACAACAACCAGCACCAATCACCATCAACAGGAGAGATTTAACAGAGGTTGCCTCCCTCGCTTATCTGGGAAGCATCGTTTCAACTACAGGCGACAGCACGGACGAAGATGTCAAAGTCAGAATCGGAAAGGCAAGGTACGCCTTCATCAACCTGAAACCAGTTTAGAAATCTTCCGCATAAGGAACAAGATTCGCATTTCCAACACCAATGTGAAGTCGGTTCTTCTACACGGGTCGGAAACTTGCACTGCGTGTCACAAAATGGATTTTCGACAGGTTGCAGACTTTCATCAACAGCTGCTCCCTTCGCTCCATACTGAAGATGAAATGGCCAGAAAGAATAAGCAACAAGAAACTATAGGAACAAACCAACCAGGAGCTGATCGCTCAACAAATATGCAGGAGAAAGTGGAGATGGATCGGGTATACATTGAGGAGGCCGCCGAATGACATCGCATGCCAGGCCAGTGCTCGATTGGACGAGTGGGACGTCCTAGGGTGACATGCAGGAGATCGTGTGAGGAAGAGATGAGATAGTTTGGTCAATCCTGGCCCCGGATGAAGAGGACGGCAGAAAACAGAACAAAGTGGAGATTTGTTGTTGAAGCCCTATGTTCCACTCGGAATGCAAGGGAATAATAATAATAACACCTTTGATCTAATTCCCTCACCGGATATAATTTCTTAAAAACTATATACATACGATTGTTTGGCTTGATTATAAATTCGTTGAAAAGTCTCTTCGCTGAATATTGTGTTCTTGATTTGCAGTTTAATTGATATATTTTCTACTTCTAAGTGGTAATTGAATCCTACAGATTACACTTACAATGCAATCGCTAAACTACGGGGGATGAGCATCGTTGTTGAATATTCATACTCGGTAGTAGGGTGTATCTTCTGGCAGATTTTAACTTTTATCCTGTGAAAACATTTTTAAGTCGGTGTTTAAATATTACAGTTGCAATTATGGATTACGCAGTAATTAATATCCTATCTTTCATCATCACCAAAACGAATTATTGATACGCCTTTGATAAAACGTGAAATCTCCAAGTCGCGGTGTATGATTGCTTATCAAAACATGAAACATAATCATCCACACACGCCAAGTTAATAAGTAAAAATCGCTATTCAGTAACAACCAGCTCAGAGAACAAAACCAAGTCAAAAGTATCTACCCAAGCTACAATTCTTCTCTATTATAATAATTAGTAGAGAAATATGACTATTGATTTGCGTCTCAACAGACATAAGCAGTTTCTCATGTATAAAATATAATTAGAAGTAGTAAACGACATGGTTCCAAATAAATCATATAAATGCACTTGTGTCTTTCCTTCTGTTTCATGTTTGTTAATTACAACTCAGTTACTCAGTATTGGGCTGATTCACACTTATTGTTTGGGAGCTAATGATACTACTCAGCTGAAGTTAATAGGACTGAAATCCGACACCCATCGACTGAAAGTTGGATGCTTAAATTTTATAGTGTACCCAGTCCATTGATTACGTATATTTATCTACTTGTTTCCCCTTTCATTACTTTTTAACCGATTCTCAGATATGAAATATATCAACTAGGACCATTAAACAATAAGCCCTAGGAATTATGTTGACGATGTCTGTTTGCCTGTTACACTAAGCTTTGCAACTCAGTAGATACTTTACTTGGTTTTGAACACTCCACCAAATTACCTACATGATCAGCAAGCAATGAACAGACATCATAAAGGCATAGTACTTGTAAAAGCTTTATCATTGTGTTGAATTCTCTCGCTATGTGGTTACCTTGGGAGAATATTTTCATCAAATTAGCAGTGTGAATACAAACCAAACATCACTAATCCCAAGCCATCATCAAATGATCTTCTAGGAAATATACACATTTGGATCTTACATCAAATACCTTAAAACTGGCGACAGCACTCCATGAGTTAAGCACATGAGTCACCAAGAAGAACTGGTGGTTTTCTCTTAAAAATCAAACGACTATATCATTGAAGATAATGGCTGTTTGTAGGGAAAAGCTTAATGGAACTACATCCAGATGCAAACAGCAGTCCAAGATATATTATAAGGTAGATTATTCCGTAGTTCTCTGTAAGCTTTTAGTTCTACAACCCCCAACTGATCTTAGTTGGTAGCGAGACCGAAAAAAATGTTTGGCAACTGCGTAATCGACATAGGTAGGTTCTCATTTACCCATCAAGAGAAAACCCTATAGAACTTTACCGAGATTAGGTATATTAGGACAAAATACTACTCTTCATATTTGCTTTATTTATTCCTTGATTTATTGAATAAACATACAAGTAATACACTTCATTTACAGAACAAAAGATTACAATTAAAGCTGTTGAAAATATGAATCCATCCGTTGAATCGTGGTAACATTATTGGAGAAGAGAAATCAAGTGGAAGTTTTTTCATCATCTGTAACATGCCGTTGAGTTACATAATGCGATTTTCGTGGTCCAAATATAGAAGTACCTATGCGCACATTAGTACTTCCAAGGTGTATCTATGCATAAGTTTATACTATGAAGAACTTACAGCATGTTCGAAATCGTCAGACATTCCCATGCTCAATTCAAAATCCAGAGGAGACTTTTTTAAAGAAGATGCTAGTATTTGTCTACACTCTACAAGTTTCTGAGTTCTGTAGAAATTTGTAAGGAAATATTTACCAAGAAATCTGGATTCGGGCCCGCAGCGATATCTACTGCTTCTCGCCCTATACACATAAGACCGACAACCCTCAAATTCAAACACTTCGCTTCTATCTGTTTGTGCAGATCTACTACATCAGAAGGTTTTATTCCACCTTTCTCTTTCACATATAAGCATTTTATAAGATAAAATTACGTGGTTCGTCACTTGTGTTAACTTGAATCATTATATTCAAAGGGGTATGGTGGATTGAGCCCCATGCTGAATCAAGAACCTGAGCATGATCTATAGAGTCTACAGTCTCCACCATATACAGGTTATTCACACCTTAAAATGTGAGTTAAAGGTAAACAATTACCTGCCAGTTTTTTTATCTTGTTGGTTTGAATTCGACCAATAAAATGCCATTTAATATCCGGGCAACACTTGATTACCTGAAATACTGATATATGAAATCTGTAGCAGTGTAAACATACCTCAGACGAATGGCTTTTTTCAAACAAATGAACAATCTACTGAGATATCACAAAAGATTTTAGAAATTACCTTGTTCTCAGCAAAATGTCTTTGCCCAGCGACATATGCTTCTATGATAGACTGTATCGGCTTTTCTTTAGAAACTGCAACAAGGCGGCACAACTTTTGGCCTACTGATGGAGACTACATGTTTTACGTACATTTATAGTGAATTAACTTACTGATTGGTAAGCTGTTTCTATTTTAAGTAAAATATCAGTGAGATTTTTCGATACGTGACTCATAGTCTTATTGTTATATTATTCATTTATGCATTCTTGGGAAACTGGCTGTCAGTCCGTCGGTGTGGTCGGTTAAAAACAAGAAACCTAGAAATACAGAGGACGAAAGTAAAAGGATTCAGATAAGTCATTCAAATATAGGTGTAGGCCGACTGAAAATTAGGTTAAGAAGTTTGACAACCGTTGAACTGAATGCAAATGCACAAGTGACTCCTCATGTACACTGCGAGACATTAAGTGTCTCCATATGTTGAGGATAGGTAATAATTTGAGTAGAATATTTGTTTTCCAAATATTGGTTTTGTAGGAATTTTTGTTTGATTGCATGGAGGATTTCATCATGAGCTGGCATCAGTTAGAGAACCACTGGAAAACCTGGGAGTACTGGACAGCTGTTTTGTCCTAGTTTGTGACTCCTCAGCAGTACGCACCCACCGGGGTTCGAAACTAGGACCTTCTGGTTACAAGGCGAGCTCGTAGACCATTGAGCCACTGGGACCTGATCCAATGGTCCTTGAATTCTTATTCTGCCAATTAACCTGATGCTCACTAGCGACTGGCCCTATTCAGGCAGTTAACCTGGGGTTCTAGTGGGAAGCCGTGACCAGTAGGCTGAAGATGAGGCAGTAACTCATCGAAGAAGACATTGCGAAATGGTCGCGCTATGTCGTGAATTGGCAGAAGTTAGAATTCATGGGCCATTGGATCGGGTCCCAGTGGCTCAACAATCTACGAGCCCGCCTTGTAACCAGAAGGTCCTAGTTTCGAACCCCGGTGGGTGCGTACTGCTGAAGAGTCCCAAAATAGGACAAAACAGCTGTCCAGTACTCTCGGGTTTTCCAGTGGTTCTCTAACTGATGCCAGCTCATGATGAAGTCCTCCATGCAATAGAACATTTGTGTTTTGTTTTTAAGATTCATTCATTTTAATTTGGGTATTAAGGGGTACAGCTTTGAATATCACCTTGAGGTTTATCATACATGCTGTTTTATGAGCATTGAAGATAACATCTAAATTAAAATCAGCAAAAACACCCAGAAAAAAACAAGGCACGAAGAGCAATTAAACCACTGGGACGTTCAGAACTTACTCTAGAAGTAATTACAACTTAAATTCGGATAATATTGACTACAACCAATATATTCCATTAGTCGTAAAGTCAAGTATGAAGGTAGACAACAATAAAACTACACTTTTGGACAACAGTAACACGAGATCGCACTGCATATTTATGTGTCTCGTTTGGTATTACTTCTTTTCCTAACATAATTCACTCCGTGTCCCAAAGTGTGTGCATCTGAGAAGTAACAACACTTTCAAAAGTACATCTTGCTTGCATTCAACTGTTGGTACTTTCCCACTCGAACGTATTTCTCCTTACCTTAATTCTCTGACCATTAGAAGCAACATCAGCCAAAAAATTACTTCCCGTAGTCTCTTGAAGTCACTCAACCAGCACCATATTGGGACATTCGACCTCTGTGTCTCATGACACATCAGACAACCACCCTCACTAGCCAGAATTCTGATATCTCAGGCTATGGATATATTTTATGTTTCAGAGACACGCATACAATGGCTGAATGTGATTGCTCATTAAATGTCACCTGGCTAACATGGTGAATCTACAAAATGCACCTTACGGGTGTCAGGAGATTCTTCTGCTAGTTTGTGTGGACTTGTTTGTGCAGAGATGGCATTGAGCGCCGGTGTAGAAAACTCACTGCTCGATTGGATCCCAGTGAACAGTCGTAGGCGTATTGTCCCGCTCAACGAATCTGTGGAGAGAAAAATAGATTATGATACCTGTCCACACCTTTCCATAATCTCTGTTTACACTCTCAACCGATTGCATTTCGGATGAAGTAAGGGATCAGTTTTGTCCAAAACTGTCTATTTTTCTTTTAAAACCAAAGCCTTTAGGTATAATCATTTAGCAGGTAAGGAAGCTGTCAGTCAGAAAGGTACTTATGAAGCCCCATGTCGAAGAACCCACACTGGCGATCATCTTTTACTGACCTGTTCAGACAATCATGTTCCTAATCAGGATTAATTTTAAACATCAGGGGAGACATTGACTAACCTGAAAACCCTCAACATCAAATCAACGATGGACGCAAACAGACCATTTAGACTGCCATCACGCATTTAATCAGTCCGTCCACATATATGCCTACGATTGAAAATACATAAAACAACATGCAGCTACGAAACCTCTGTGCTTCCTACTTAACGGGAACGCAAAATCTTTATTTAGGGGAGAAATAAATAAACGCGTATGTGTGATTGACAGTAATATGCATCCTTAGGAAGCCTAGTACTACATTGAGTCTGTTGCAGAAGCAGTGGTTAAGACTGTTGTTAACCTCTAATGAAGGGTTAACAAATTTCACTGAATTTTTGCTGCTTCGTTGGAACTGACAGATGAGAGAAGACTAACTCTTGCAGGCTCTGAACATGAAGAGGATTGAAAGCTTTGCGAATGTAGGCGGACTAAACATCTCCTTGAACAGTGTTGGGCGACAAAAGTGATACAGATGGAAAGAGCATAGACGGTAGATGATACCGGAGAACTATTTGGAGTCATTAGGGAAACGGGTTGTAAGAAACCAGTGGTAACTGAAGCTTTTTCTGAGATAGACTGTACTTTAATTACTTCACAGGATGTTTGTCTTGTTTCAACATAGGACTTTGCACCGATGTGCAGGAGTTCGAGTCGCCACACTTCACTCAGCACACAAAGCCAGAGAAGAAAGTAAAAAGAAACGCAGGATAAGTGACTTGAACGCTGGAGGGAACAATTTGAGGAGCAACACAATTGGCTTATAGCCACGCTAAGGTTACCCAGAATCTAACGTCTACCTGGATTAGATGTAAACATGGGATCATCAACCATAGCTAAGGTTGTAAACACTGTCTCTAGTTTAAAGACAAGGCAAAGCAGCAGGATTCTATTGTGTGACTACAAAGGCATTCAGGGACGGTGGTGATGAATTGTTCACCGGGCTAACGAAGATATTAATTAACACATGGGAATCCGAGGTAGTCATATTAGACTAATGTAAGTTATTGATATTTCCGGTTTATAGAAAGTAAGACAAATCTTCCTGTAGTGACCATAGGGGAATCAGGACGAACGACATAGAATCTAAAGTTCTAGGTTCAGTAAACCTGTGTAGACTAAACGACGCCGTGAAAATCAGGAACGTTGGAGGCTAGAAAGAAGATATATTGATCATGATATATTCACCCTCCAACAGATTCTAGAACACAGGTATACTTATTGGAGCCCAATACTTGCTATAATTCTTAACCTGAAGGCAACATTTGACTCAATTGACCGATAGGTACTGTAGCGATGTGTGGACCTGAAGAAAGTGCATCACCCTTATCAAGGCATCCTACTCAAACTCATGCAGTTGCGTAGGAGCTTATGGGGTTGTCATTTGAAGTGATAAGTGGTATCTATTGGCGATGTCCAGTGTCCCCACTTTTACACAATTTCATCGTTGAAGCAAGAAATGAAATGACCCTGACAACTTAAGAATTGAGATGTTACTAGGGTGGTCTCGTTGATCTATAATATATGGATGATATAATTCTTCTACGTTGAAGATGTTAACGAAATGCAGAGACTTTCGACCACATCGAGTCGCAGTCTTACTAGTCATGCCATAATATCCACCCCTGTTAATTGCAAAACGATGCTGCAGGATTGGTCTTCGCCGACTACTAATTTGAAGATAAGGAGTGAATTGGTTGAGCGTACAAACCGCTTCACTCGTTTGAAGGTTGCATCAACTACAATGGACTGACTGCTGATAAAATCTAAGCACGGAAACAAGACTTCTGGTATTTTTCAAATTACCTGATCTGTGACGTAGGAGTGATATTCATCTAAGGACGTGTACTGAGTGTCAGTTTACTCCAGCCTTCTTTAAGGCTATGGGAGTATTATGTATGAGGTGATTAGTTGCCCTTATCCATAGGCATTAGCATTCTGTTGCCCTTGTTCAGTAGTACAATATGATTAACAATATTCAGGTTAGAAGTAGTTAGTTAAGGAGAGAAAATGAACCGGTGCATTTGTGAACCTAATTCGATTTAGATGAATAGGACACATTTCGCGTGTCAAACGACCACCTTCCACGTTGAGAAATGATGGCCGAAACACGGTTATGTTGACACAGTTTGAGGTGAATAAACCGAAACAGCATCAATCCATGAAGTCTTTGACTGTTGGTTTGAGCTGGGTGGGTACAGACTGTTTGGCTATGACATAATGGCTCAAGACTACTGATAACATGGCAAAAAATCGTTCTCAAATGCGCAGGTGCATCCACTTTATGTGACCTCCTACATCTATTATGTTTTCATTATTCTGTATAGTATCCTTGCTTCCGTAAATTTATACTTATTATAGTTTCTTTACATTCAGTGTGCTTTTAAGAAGTTTGGTAACTTCGACTGATGGACTTTTGTGGGTTGCTTGAGCTTGAAAATCTTATCCATTTACTTTCTGCCAATTAATAGAAGACTAGGAACAAGTGCGTAATGCTTGTAAACCAATCCCCGACCGATAGCTGCTACCTTGACGTGGTGGTCGGGCTTGCATATCACAATGACCCAACAAGCTATACTGGTTGGAACTATTGTTCCTGTAGGTCCTACCATGCCAGCAAGGTTGTTAGGATAGCGATTAGACTAAAAGCAGTTACCGGCGTAGTGAAGGAATTTTTTTCCACACAATTCTCGGGTCTGTGGGCGAAGTCGTATTGCTCGGGAACAGGGATGTAACAGCAGTGTGTTTCCCTCAGCTGACCAGCATTCCACCTATGCTGTCTCTCCACTCTGGAGGGAGGGGGTTAAAAAAAGTCGACCCCAAAAATTATACATCCCGACTTACTCTACGGTGGTCCGTAACCGGCGGTAAGTTACTAATACGGAACCAAACCTAAAAGCCAGTTCATACACGCCGTGTGTGACGGGCCTCAAGCAGTTGTTTCCTGGACTCTGTGGTCACGCAACAATAACCCTCTTTCTGGTCCAGGTACCCGAAGAATCAATCAACTTCCGCGGTGTAGGCAGCCAGTAAGTAGCGACCGCCCCCACACTTCCAGAAGAACACAAAGCCCTCCTCCTCATCATCCTCATTTATCCCTGATACCCTCATCATCTTGTTTCCCTACTACTGTCAGTACTATTCTACAGGATGGTTGGTCATCTTTATTTCATTCTGTGACCATCAATAGCGATGACAGACAGAAAAACACTCCCGATAGTTGCTTAAAGCCATACCGCAAACTTCATATTGGAGCATTTAACGTCAGGATCCTCTATCAAACCGGTCAACAGGCATCACTAGCCAGCACTGTAGCATCTCGACCCAAGGATGTATGTTGTGTTTCGGAGACACGCACACAAGACCCGAGTATAGTCATTCACTTGACCTCACCCGGTCAACAAGGTGAATCTGTAAAATTCACTTTAAGGGTGTCGGAGACCCCTCAGCTAGCTCACGAGGACTCGCAGGTGTAGGGATAGCACTGAGTGTTAGGGCAGAAAAATCACTTCTTGACTGGATCCCAGTAGATAGTCGTATGTGCGTGATCCTTCTGAACGGCTCCGTTAAAAGAAGGAAAGACGGCGCTACTCGTCGTTGCCTTTTCGTAGTCTCCGTTTACACCCCCTACAGACTGCAAGTCGCATGAATTAAAAGATGAATTCTACCGGAAACTGTCTAATTTGCTGCAAAAAGCAAAACGTTCAGACATAGTTATTTTAGCAGGTGACTTCAATGCCCAAGTAGGGAAGTTGTGCCAGACTGAGAAGTATGTAGGCGGTACGTATGGAGTTCCCTGCCGACGAGCCGACAACGGTGACCGTCTTCTACAGTTCTGTTCAGATAATCATCTGATCCTAATCAGCACTAACTTTAGGCACAAAGAGAGACACTGCGTAACCTGGCGACCTCCATCACCAAATCAACGCTGGACTCAGATAGACCACATAGCCATAGGGTATCGTTGGCGAAGGTCAGTAGAAGACTGCCGCTCCTTCTGGAACACGTGCGTAGACTCTGATCACGCCCCGATTCGCGTGCGTTTATGCTTACAACTAAATGGATATAAAAAAACTGTTGGTGACGAAGCAGATACATCCCCAACTTGATCAGGACACCGAGTCTCTATTTTATTTATTTTTATTATTTTTGATTATAGCTTGAATCCACACCGTATTTTTGGTACAAGTATGCAATTTTCAGCATGTGATATCGGTAGCCCAAATTTTGCAAGCCGACCATTGATATCAGGTGTGCGTCGGCAGGCGATCGAACCCCGGATCATGTGCATCGTCGGCGAGAGTCCTAACCGCCGTGTCACCGACGCACCAATGAAGAAATAGCTAAACGCATACCTGAGATCGACAGCAGGACTCCTCCTGAGGAGGCCTGGCACAATATACAATTAGCTGTAGACACAGCTGTAAAAGCTGTTAATAACCTAAAACCAAAAGCTAGTAAAAGCCAGTGGATTTCTACCACCTCACCTGAACTGATTAAGGCAAAAAAGACTGATTCCAACGAGCTCCGAATATGGTGAGGACCGAAAGCCACTCAAACGCAAACTAACAAAAAGTCTTCGTAACGACCGTGAACAGTAGTGGGCAACAGAAGCAAAAGAGATGGAGAAGGCATTAGCGATAGGTAACACCAGACAACTATTCAGACTTATCAGGGAAACAGGTGGCAAAAGGCAAATGATAAGCGAAACAATCTCGGAGAAAAATGGCACCATAATTAGCTACCAGGATAGACGACTGGAACGCTGGAAAGAGCACTATGAGGAGCAGTTTAATTGGCCTACATTCACGCTCAACTTACCGAACATCCAACATCCCCCTGAATGGGATATAGACACCGGTTCTCCATCTATAATTGTGGTTAAAAATGCTGTCTCTTATCTGAAACGAGGCAAAGCAGCGGGACCTAATGGAACGACTCCAGAGGTGTTTAAGGACGGTGGAGACAGTTTACTGTTTGCGCTAACTAAGGTACTAGGCAGCGTCTGGGAATCAGAGAAAGTCCAGTCGGGTCGGTGTAAGTCATTGATTACCTCCATATACAAGAAGAGACACAAGTCTTCCTGTGATAATCACAGGGAGATTAGCTTGACCAATATGGTATCTGAAGTTCTAGGCCCAACAATCATGCGTAGGCTAAGTAATGCTTGGGAGGAACAAACAAGAGGAAACTGGGCAGGCTTCAGACCAAGAAGAGGGTGTATTGATCATATCTTCACCCTTCAAGAGATTCTGGAACATTGGCGTACTTACTGGCATCCAACAATCGTCATATTTCTTGACGTAAATGCGGCATTCGACTCCGTCGACCGAATGCGATTTGCTCCTGTCAAATGTAAGATGATGCTAAAGGACTAGATTACACATACCACTAGCTTAAAGATACAAAGTGAAGTGGTAGAGTATGATGGCCACTTCACTTATTCAGGAAGTTGCGTCAGCCCCAATCGACTGATTGCTGACGAAATCGTAGCATGGATACAAAAGGCTCGTGTAACAATTGCCATTGACGTGATATCCAGTAGTCCACCAAAGGACGTGTGTACTGCTCAGTAGTTCGTTCCGTCCTCCTTTATGGCTGTGAGACACGGCCATTGAACGTGAAAAGGCTAGCTAACTGTCTTTCATTATAGGCACCTGCTTTCCATCTGCCATGTTAGGTGGCATAATAAGGTGAGTATTATTGAGGTTAGATAAGGAGGGAAAGTCAATCGATGAGCTTCTACAGCTACATCGATTGAGATGGTTAAGACACGTGTTACGCATGCGTAGACATTGCCCTCCTCAACAGGCAATGTTAGCTGAGAACCCACCAATTCTCGATATGGCGGGTTCTGCTTATCACGGAATTCCTCAATGGTTAGCTGAAATACTGGAACCAGTTAGAAGGCAAGTGTCTAGGTTTTCCATTGATGATACGCTAAAATTTACTGAGAGTATTAAAAATTGTAATGTCTCAGACAAAGTCATGTCCTCATTAGATGTAACTTCGCTATTTACCAATGTACCTCTCATGAAAACTGTTTGCTATATATGTGATTATATTGATACAGATACTTTAGAAATAAGGTTGCCGACAGTCCACCTAAAAGAACTTTTATCGAGATGCACGTTGAATATTCAGTTCACCTTCAATAATGAGATTTTTAGACAGAGGGATGGCATTGCCATGGGATCACCACTGGGCCGTTTGCTGGCTGACTGTTTTATGGCAAAGCTTGGAAACTCTCAACTTAATCAGACTATCGATCATTTCGACATTTATAAAAGATATGTAGACGACACTTTCGTCATCTACAATAATAACGTAATTCTTGATGATGTCTTGTTTGCTTTCAACAACTGCCATCCTTCTTTACAATTCATCATAGAAAAGGAATCTGAACGAAGTATTCCGTTTCTTGATGTGCGCCTTAGTAGACGTAATGACAGATCTCTCAAAAGATCCATCCACCGGAAACGTACATGGAACGGGCAACTAACTAATTTTTATAGTTGGGTGCCTGTCTCCAGGAAAAGGAACCTAATTCATTCGCTCTACATTAGGATCAGAAACATTTGTAGTTCTGATTGCGTTGACTAAGAAATTGACTTCCTACAAGCCACACTCGCATAAAATGGCTACCTGAACTGATTTATTGACAGTAACATGAAAGATAAGCAGTCTAAACTGGTCACCGACTCAGTTCCAAAGAAAACCTTATTTATGAACTTGGAATTCAAAAGTGATCAAGCTTCAGATATGCTCAAAAACCGTCTCTCTAAAGCAGTCAGTAAAATGTCCTTTGCAACAAAATTACAAATGACGTTCACCAGCCGCAAGTTGTTCTCCATCTCCATAAAAGATAAGCTCTCCCGTCTGGCCGCCTACATGTGCATCTATCAGTTCACCTGCTCTTGTGGAGCAAGGTATATTGACCGTAGCCAGAGGAAGCTTTCTACACGGATACGAGAACATATTCCAGCATGGTTTCACAACGGAGAAAGGTAGTGTATGCGAAGCTCTATTCTAGAACACCTGATCGACTCCTGTCACTCTGCCAAACCTGACCATGATTTTAAGATCATCTACCGAATCCATGCTAACTTGCCGCGTTTTCTTCGTTATAGACTTCTAAAGACAGCGGAGGCCTTGGTCATTCATGAATTTAAGCCAGACCTTTGTATACAAAAGAAGCATTTCCAATCCCTACTTCTGCCTTGGCCGTAGAGGGATAGACATTTATTTACTTTGTTTATTTATTTATTCTATGTACCTTTCCCTTACTACTACGATTATTATTATTCTCACTCTGAATTGTTTCTGCTGGTCCCACTTGTCATTCTAAATCCAAAATTATTATTTTGTTTTTACAACATTGAATTCTATCTTATCAAATTTCACACCATGTTATGTAACATTTTATATATTCGCCCACTAATCCTATAATTATGCACCCCTTTCTAACATCTATACACTTTATGTATTATTCTATATGACATTTATTATTTTGCTACTTGACATCTAACTATGATTATAATCACAAATATTTTAACTGCATTTCATACTATTATTATTTCATGTATCCACACCTTTGATCAACCTCGCCTAGTTAACTAGCTTTTTAGTTTTCTACCCAGTTCCAAGACCGGGTAAAGAGGGAGGGTTGGGCGTGGGGCTAGCAACGCCACACCACTAAACATATCAAACCGCTAAAGAAAATTCAACACACAGAAAATATACTAAAAATACAAAAACTTCAAATAAAAATCTTATTCTTCGCTCGAATAGAAGAGGCGAAGTGAAACAGCGGGCTGGTGAAAGCCTTCAGGAAGTCAGTCAGCCAACGTGTCTTTTCTTGATGAAAGCAAGAGTAAGAACGGGGACGTGGAATGTCTGGGCAATGTAAGAGGCTGGGAAGGCTGCCCAGGTAGCCAAAGAGATGCGAAGATATGCCTTAGAAGTACTGGGTATCTGCGAAAGCAGATGGAATGGATGTGGATTGACAACATTGTCAACAGGAGAGTCAATAATCTACTCCGGTCACCCAGATTACAACCACGAACACACCGAGGGAGTGGCCATGATGTCACCAGTGGCAGCCAAAGCCCTAATGCAGTGGGAACCAATTTCACCCAGGATCATGACAGCAAGATTCAACTCCGAAGGAAGGAAGGTAACAATTATCCGATGCTATGCACAGTGCTACAAACAACGCGGAACAAGAGAGGAAGAAGAAGAAGGATTTTTACAGACAACTACAAACAGTAATGGACAACATCCAGAATGGAGACATCAAAACCCTCATGGGCGATATGAATCCCAAACTGGGACCTGATAACACAGGAAGCGAATTCATCATGGATCGAAAGGCTCTCGGAGAAATGAATGAGAACGGGGAATTATTCGCAGACTTCTGCTCTTTCAACGATTTGGTGATCGGAGGGAGCGTGTACAAACACAAGGATATACACAAAGCAACGTGGATTTCGCCTGACGGACATACCACAAACCAAATAGATTTCATCTCAATCTCAAGGAAGTGGAGACGCAGCTAGCCTGCTGGATACAAAGTCGAGAAGGAGAGCTGATGTGGGCTCAGACCATCATCTAGTCCAAGGAACTTTCAAGGTGAAGCTGAAATCCGCGAAAACAAATGGAGACAGACCACAACTCAACTTCAACATTCAGAAACTGAAGGACAAAACTACAAGGGATGCCTCCGCTACAGATCAGATCAGAGCAAAGTCGGAGATACTAAGTGGCATCACTGAGGAAATCTGTGTGGAAGAACATTGGAACTCTGTGAAAGCGATATTCAAGGAAACGTGTACAACTGTTCTGGGAAGAAGCAAGAGACAAGACAAGGAATGGCTGTCAACGGATACCTGGAAGCTTGTCGAGGAGAGGAGGATGGTGAAAGAGATGACCCAATGCAATGATGGACAACAGAAGGAGAAGCTGAGTTCAATGTACACTGCACTAAGTAAAGAAGTGAAGAAGAGTGCTAGAAAAGACAAACGATTATTCTACGACACACTTGCAACTGAAGCAGAACAGGCCACAGGCAAAAGAGACAACAGGACACTATATCAGATAACCAAGCCTCTATCAGAGAAGAGATCAACCCAGATGACGAAACCAATAAAAGATGCTCAAGGGAACCTGATCACCAAGGAGGAGAGACAAATCAAACAATGGGCTGATCACTTTAAAGGACTCTTGAGTCGACCACCACCGACAACTCGCCCAGGCTACTGAACACCGACCGGGAAGGCAGCAGAACCAAACGGAATTCCCCCTGAAAACGGACCCAGAGACTGAGGCAGATGTTCTCACGCCATTATTGTAAAAGGTTTGGGAAGAAGGAAAGGTACTTACTGATTGGAAGAAGGGCCACCTCGTCAAAATGCCAAAGAAGGGCGACTTAGGCCTATGCAAGAACTGGTGTGGAATCATGCTCTTGTCCACGCCAAGTAAAATAGTTGACCGCTTCACTTATTTGGGAAGTTGCATCAGCCCTAATGGGTTGATCACTGACGAAATTTCAGCACGGATACACAAGGCTAGTTTCGCATATGCCAGTAGACGTGATATCCGGCTGTCGACCAAAGGGCGAGTGCACTGCTCAGCTTTCTGCTCCGTCTTCCTCTATAGCTGTGAGACCTGGCCATTGAGAGTAGAAGACATTAAAATACTAGCTGTCTTGGATCATAGGTGCCTGCGCTCTATTTCCCGTGTGAAGTGGTATAATAGGGTGAGCAATATTGAGGCTAGGCGTTGAGTATTAGGTAAGGTAAAATGAGTCGATGAGGTTGTGAAATTACACTGACTGAGATGGTTAGGACATATGTTACGCATACAACCCTAGCCATCGCCTTCCTCGACGGGCAATGTTAGCTGACATATCATCAGGTTGAAAAAGAGCCAGTGGTGGTCACACCAAATCATGGCTTCATCAGTCAACGAAATCCACAACAGTTAGTTTAAGCCAGCCACGTAGGAAGATGTAGACTTCCTAGTTGGGGTCCTACGGATGGCAAAATCCAATGGCTGAAGACAATCGGTGATATGGCTCAAAATCGTTCTCAATGGTTGGCGCAGATGCATCCACTCCTTGTGACTTATAATACCCAATAAAACTATATTGTTCTTCGATATTACTACTCTTTTTGCTTCATATCTTTGTTTGCTGTCTCTGTATTGCATTTCCGTTTGCTTTCTTCTTCTTCTCTGGCTTTATGTGCTGAGTAAAGTGTGGCGACTGGAACTGCTGCACATCGGTGCAAAGTTCTATGTTGGAACCAGTCAGTCAGTCAGTGTAAATCAGTCTCATAGTTTGATGAGAGCACCCAACGACTACAAAACAAACTGACTCACACAAAAGAATCTCAGTGATTATACAAAGCACCACTCTGAGGTGTTTTTTACCAGATATGACGAATAGGAATAGTGGTACACTCACTAAACAGGATTATTTCTGCTCAACAAAACTCACTCATTCAATGATTATGACACATTCAGGTGAGAGGAGGACAACTCAAAAGGAGGAAATAGTAGACCTATACAAAAATACACTCCACAAATTCGCATGGGGTGAAACAAGCCATTTCCGACACAGAGCAAAGTCAAGCTTATTATCATCTACATCCCTACCTTTTCCCCGTACTTATAGTCGTCAGGAAAAATACTCTATACCCCATTAAACTTGCAGCAGCCATAACTAACAAACAACCATAGTCTGATTTCTGTACAAACCATGAGCAAATGTATTCGCTCATGACGTTTAACTTTTGTCTAAGTAACCGTGTGTTTCAACTAATCAAACACAAATGTAATAACATGTGACTAAATCTCCTTCTCCCAGTCTATAAGAAGTCTTGAATTTTTCTTAAGTGTCCATAAAACGGTTTATCAATTGAAACTCAGTAGAATACCTGATGGGGCGAAGTTACGATATAGGCGCCCGCTGCTCAATAAAGAAGCTGAGCACTTGAAGGTCACATACACACTGCTATGGTTAGTTTGCATGGACTTTGTGGAAATACAGAATTTGAAAGTGGTATTGTTAATGACGGCTGGCAAGTTATTCAATGTTTTCAACTCGATTTCGAAGTTTGAACTTCTTAACAATTGGTCAGTACAGAGAGTGCTTGTGACACTTTGGAGTGTTGTCACCGACAATTTAGCTACTTCAGCTGACAGAATTCTGGAGATATTGCAATGGCTAGTCACTGGAATGTGCTCAATCGGCAGACAGTCTTCCAGTAGTGACACTGAAATGACAGTTATGCAGCCGAGGGAGAGGACCCGCGAGTCGTTGCGCCACTGGATGATACTGCATGCCAGCCTCGTCTCTCAAGGGGGAGGGATAGGTGCGTTGGGTTCTCCTGAAAACCAATACCCACTCAATAAGTGTGCCACTATGTGAATATTTGGGGCTAAAATCTGGCACTGCTTGTGAAAAACACAAGTATGACTTACAGCAATGGAGATGGCTGCCATCTCAGATAGCCCTTGGTGCTTCCGGAGTAGTCCTGATTTTCCGGCTACCCTGTCCCCCTCATCTCATACTGATCAGCTCCCCAAGGCTGCTAAGTGTCAGATTCATCTCCCAGGAACAGATAGCTCTAGTACTTCAACAGTGGTGAGAGACCAAGTGTAAAATGGGAAGATACATCCAGTGCTGCGAAAGCAGACCCTAAACATAAGGAGACAGCAGACTAAGGTCACCATACGTCCCCAAGCGGTACTGGGAGGGACAGTCAGTGTCACCCGAGTGTCCTGGTTGAATCCAAGGAAAAGAAGGTAACAGTCGAAAGTAGCCGACTAGTCCCAATATTAAATCCCTTATCAGTGGACAACATGCTGAGGTGGTGAGACTCACTGTCAGCTACCTATATGGCGATGTAAGAGAACTGAGAAGAAAAGCAGGTGAACTTAGTTACACCTAGACCTTAAAACAATAATCCTAACACAAACTTGGCTAACCCCCACTATCGCCGACAACGAAGTCAGTATAAGTGATACGGTTCTAGTCAGGAGACACGAGATAACAAGGAGGGGGAAGTTGCCATATACTTTGACAAGCAACTTAAGTGTGAACATGCAATGGACCCAACACTTACTGAACTCCCAGACTCTATATGGTGTCATTTCACCGTAGGCCACACCTAGCATTTTCTGGGTGTCATATTCTGATAACCCACCTGTGGGGCAGAGCACAACGAGCTACTGATCAGCACCATCACATAGGGACGGGACTTGGGCTATGATCAAACCACCATAGCTGCAGATTTCAATGCCCCATCACTGAACCTTGGCTCGGGGTATGCTAAGGGAAAATTCGGTCGAAATTTACTATGAACCATTTGAAATACGGGACTATCTGAGAATGCTGGAAACGACACTAGGCGGGGCCCTAGTTGAAAGTCATCGAAACTAGATTATATTCTGACTAGTGCCCAGCTTCTCGTCGAAAAGGTCCAGATCATGACTCCTCTAGGAAGTAGTGACCACGCAGTTATATGGTTTGATCTTGTCCTCTATGAGTGCTTACAGCGTAATGTGAAGGCTTTTGACCGACGCAGAATGCTCCGTAAAATGGGCTGAGTTATCTGTGGATGAACACTGGGAAGTGTTAAAGGAGATTATTCACATAGCAATCTCACAGACTGTTCCTCTAATCACGCTACAACCTAAAAATGATCCTTGTGACTGAGAAGAGACACGTAGCTTTTCCTGCAAGCGAAGCAGAAATTCGGGTTTACATGGCGAATCTCCAACAGTCATAGTGACTATGGGGCATATCTGGAACTCAGGAACTAATGCAACACAACGGTCAGGAATGACATGGATCATTTCGGGCCAGCCCCGCCAAAAATTCATGGCTAACCTCAATAACCCGTACCGATTGTTGTCGGCGAGAAAACTAACCAACCGAACGGTCGATATCTCACTGGTCTGAAGATGGCTCAAACATTCATTTTGTCCTTCTCCAAAGAGTTAAACAGCCGTGTGGTTATTAGTGTTACAGTCCGAAATGGCGGCACTTCTATTTCGCCCGAGGAAAACCTAGTTGCTACTCCTCAAGTAAACCCAGTAATAGTACTAGGGAAGCTACAGAGACTCACAACTGGAAAGTCCCCAGGTTATGACAACATCAGGCCATCGACTCTGAAAAAGTGAGCCGAAGCTCTCTGTAGGCCCTCATGCGACTTGCTTCAACACTTGACGGACCCAAGAAAACTGACAAGGGAATGGAAAAGAGCCACCTAATAATAATAATTTTTATTTCTGGAACAGAAACCAGCCATTTTTACAGGCATGAACAAATGTACACTAATTAGAACTTATAGAATATATATGATTTGTCAATCTAGAAATAGATTGAATACTGGTAAATTTGAGAGAAATATTTAAAAAGAAATGTACAAATAAGGCAATAGGTAATTTTCGAGATATGCTTTCAACTGAATAATTCATGAGAAATAGCATCAAATCAAAACTGTAATTGAAAAAAAATACGGTATGTCAATTT